AGAACTTGACTGACATAAGGGGCTAGTCTCGCCTCAAACCTTCCATTATCTTCAGGGGCAGCGTACTGCTGAAACAAAAGCGCCTCCTCCTCTGCCTAATTTTTTTTTTTTTTTTTCAAAAGAGAAAAAAAATTAAAATGAAACAAAATTTCCTTGGAAGGTTTCAAATGCAGAAGACTTGTAAAGAAACCTGCAACATTCTGGCCAATTCCTCATCGGATTTCAGTAATTCATCGTTTTCAGCAGTTGATTTTTCTTGTTGCTCCTCATTGATCGAAACCAGTCGGAGCTTCTCAGAGATGGCAACGAGGTCGGAATCATCCGAAAGGACACGATTTTCATCGACTCCAATTAACTTTACGGAAAGAAAAACAATCCAATTTAATCAACTTGCGACACACGTAGTTTTACAAATAGCAAAACCTATACACGTATATTCACACGCAGAGAGAGATATGTAGAAATTGGTGAACCTTTTGCTCGTCTGGAGGAATAGAGGTGAGGGAGAAGATCTGGATTTTGAAAACCTGCAATGAATGGCATGTTAGGGACTGAGTTTTGTAGAGAGAGTGAGAGAGAGAGAGAGAGAGAGAGAGAGAGAGATACTTCGAGGCCATCGGCGATGTCATAATCAACGCCGTAAGTGGAGTCATTGTGGTGAACCTGAAAGCTGCGAGTCACCATTTTCTGTTTCGCGACTCTGATGATGATCTCTGCAACTGCAAAGCCCCAAAAGTAAAGTAGAGGTCTTTCTTTCTCCCACCATTTGTTTTGTTCGGTAACCTCTCTTCTTTCTTCCAAAGAATCAGTACTGACGTGTCGTTGCAGCATGCCCATGGGCCATGGGCCATGGGCTATGCGCTTGCTTTTTTATTTTTATAAAGTGGGTAACCCACCAATTATCTAAGGCTTGCAACTTATAGGTGGGGTTGATGCTCGGTATTTGTGGGCCGAAGCCCCGGTCGTAGGTCCCATGAGGCCTTACATTTAACGTGGGCCAGCCTTCACAATTAACATGAGAATTATAGATTTAAAATAGGGTAATATAGCCTTCCTAGGGTTATACCACCATGAAATTCAAACCGTCAGTATTTTCAAGGGTCCGTAACGCAATTGTTAGTTAGATAATGAAAAGGGTTGGGTAAGGTATGGGTTGCGCATGAATCCATGATTGGAATGAAGAGATTTGAGGATGGTTGATATATCAAGTCAAAGTGGACCAAACATTATTAATGAAATCGAGAAGGATATCGATGCAAATGGATAACGATAACAAGGAAGTCTACATACATGTATATATATTAATGAGATTGAAAAGGATGCTAACCAGAACAAATAATATTTGGTTCTATTTTCTGTGGTCGGTCTTCTTCCAGCTGAATTTGTTAATTATTCTAGGTAGGTTGCACAGTGGTAGTTGTAGTCATTAATTTCATACAGAAAAACGCTTCATCACACGGCTCCTTCTTCTTTTTTGTTTTTACGCTCTTTAATTGAATGACATATTTACATTCTGAACTTCCGAACTCATTTAAACCCTAATGGAATACAGCCCTTCAGCTTCAATAATGAACTGAACTACTATTTGGTTCCGTCTTTAATGTCAACAACCGACCTGCCCTAACCCAAGAATATCTCTCTTTTTCTCTCTGCTCTGCACATATATACACACATATATCAAACATCGCTACGTCTTCTTACAAAACTAGATATAATCTTCTCTCTCTCTCTCTCTCTCTCTGCGATAATGTCGACGACCCAGCAGAGCCGGGTGGTGGTGCACTCAAAGCTAACGGTAGTTTCGAGCAGGCCAGTGAAGGCGGGCACGGCCCATGCTTTTACAGCACTCGACCATGCAATGGGCCTCCACACCCTCCACGTAGTCTTCTACTACAACCACAAGTTGTTCGGCTGTTTTGACTTGGACCCTTTGCGGCTCTCTCTCTCCGAGACCCTCTCGCTGCACCCTCCCGTTACCGGTCGGATTGCCCAGAAACCCGACGGCAATTGGGAGGTTAAGTGTACTGATGCGGGTGTTCGGGTCTTCATGGCCCGGGTGGGGACCACACTTGATGAGTGGCTCAGATCTGCTGATGGCTCCGAAGAGAGGCTTTTGACCGTTTGGGATGATATGCCTGATGATCCCAGTACTTGGTCACCCTATAGGATCCAGGTACTTTTTGTTTTTGTTTTTGTTTTTGTTTTTGTTTTTGTTTTTGTTTTTTTTTTCTCAATCCTGGTTGGTTGGTTGGCTCCGGTTAAGGTAAGGAGTCCTATATACTGAAGTGATTTATTAAATTTTATATACATGTGCCAAACTTTCTACAAGGAGAAGTATGTTTCTTATGGAGAAATATGTTTTTTATGTTTAAGCACTACCAAAAAAAAAAAAACCTAAAAAAATGCATTTTTGGTGACTAAACTTTAGTCACTCCAATATTAGTCATCAAATAATAGTGACTGTTGCCACTTTTTTTTTGTAGTGAAGATGGCAAGTATTTTTGTATTTCTCTATACTACATACAATATGAGTAATATGCTAAAAATAATTACTTAAGAGTTGGCCGCGTAGTTGTGAGTTATTGATGCAAGTGAATTTGTAATCTATTAACAACTGACAACTAGCCACACGTGTGTAGCACTGTCACTAACACCCATACAAGGAGTGCATAAAATTATTTTTGAAATCTAATAAATGGATTTATTGTGAGAATGTGAAAGTGTTGTCCCTTGGAAAAAGAACTTATAAGGTGTTGGACTATTCCCCATTGCCAATTGATTTTGAGGTGGAACTTCAACTTCCTTCATTTTTAACCAAATAAGATCTCTAAAAACATTAATTGACTAATTGATGCACAAAAATGGTCGAGCACTTGTGGGCCCAACTTAGAGATGATGCGTCACCTCAAGCCTCCTTAGGCTCTTCGACAGATGAGGACGATCTGCAAGACAAAAAGCTACGGTAAGACCTTGGGCACCGGTATGGTACCGGACGAAGGCTCTCCGATATTTAAGTTAGCTTAAGGACGGAGTGAATAGCAATTTAGACAGAGTTAGGGCTAAGTAGCTGAATAAAACATATACCTTATTTGGGGGACTTGTGCTCCTATTTATAGATCTTGGGAGGTGTGCACATTGAGTGGGATTTTGATGCGTGACTGTTGGTATTGCCTGAGAAACTACAACATATCATTTGTCCAAATTGGAAAAACTTGCACTTCATTAAGCCGGATCAGTTGGCTAGTTGTCGAAAGCTTACCATGCCGATGGTCTGTACATGGATAGGATTGTCGAAGGCTTACCCTACCGATAGTCAATTAATGAGTCTCAATACTTTAAGAATAATGCTATTTAAACACACAACATTAACCACCTTAGCTGATTACCTTATGTGGCAACTGATGTGTCATGCCATATCAATTAATGAATATTGCCATGAGGCCACTTACTAGGAACGCTAGGGTTTTTTAATTGACATGACGACATTCATTAATTGACTTGGCATGACACATCAATTGCCACATAAAGTAATCAACTAAAGTGGTCAATGTTGTGTGTCTAAATAGTCCCTTTTATATTGATCCCATACTCCACATATCGTGGAATAATTGGCCCGTCATATGTGGTATAAATAGATTGAAAATGAAATAAAGTTTCTGGCCATAATATTAATTTATTGACCAAACATGTGACACCCAATTAAATTGATTTGAAAAGACATGCCAGGTTGGTAGCTTTAAATTATTGCAGCGCCCTCCTGTGCGGGAAGGGTATATAATTAAAATGAGACACAATTATTATTACTTTTGTTATTTTTTTGTCAGTTCTGAATTATTGTATGCCCTTTGCCTATATAATATTGTATGCTCGATTTTATTGAAAACAAACATTATTATATGTAGCACCAAACTTGATTTAAAAAGCATTAACATATGAATCAATCTTGGTTTTGGAGATAAATGAATTTGAAGGAGGAGGTGCAGCCATTGGTGTAAGTTGCACTCACATGCATGCAGACCCAACTTGTGTCACCCTACTCGTCAAGGCGTGGACCGAGACTCACCGCAAGCAAGCAATTGCTCACCCGCTTCTCGTCGGGGAGTCATCAGCCCTCGGAGGCAGACCCGTTGATCAAGACATAATAAAAACAAAATCAGCAGCAGCCTATTATGAAGCCAAGTCTATGGCAGCAAAGACCCCTTTACCAGAAAAGAAAATAAGCACAGCCACTTTCAAATTCTCCAGTGCAATGATCAAGCAAGGCCTCTTACAAATCCACAAAACTTGCCCTGAAGCCAACCCTTTTGATTTGCTGGCTGCAGTGTTTTGGACTAGCATTGCGCGCTTAAAACCCCCAAAGAATGGCACCAAGCACTCCCTCTCAATTTGTACTGGCTTTAGAAAGAAGCTGTGTTCTGGTTGGCACTATGGCAATGCCTTGCATTTTTCAATGCTTTCAGTGGCGGATGTGGAGGAAGAGGAACGCGCGAATGGGTTGGGACACGTGGCAGGAGCGGTGCACCGCCACGTGTGGAGTCAGAAGGAGGAGGAGTTTTGGTCTGGAGTGGACTGGTTTGGATCACAAAAGGGAGAGGAAGGTAAGTTTGGGGCAGCATTTAGGATGTATGGCCCTGAATTGACATGTGTTAGCATGGAGCACATGAATGAGAAGGAGCCATTGATGTATGCAGCCATGTTTGACAAGGACAAGAAGCCAGCTCATGTATCTTACCATGTGGGGAATGTGGAGGGTGAAGGGTTGATAATGGTGATGCCAGCTCCAGAAGGAGGGCTTGGAAGGATGGTTATGGTGACATTGCCAGAGGAGGAGCTGGCCCAGCTCTGTGAGGCACAGCCTATTTTGAGCCTAAAACCAACAATGCTTCTAAGTGGGAAACAAGCTTGAATTTGTTGCTTTGAGTTTATTCATTTTAACTTCAAGACTTAGAAAAGCTTAAACCAATTACAGATCAAGTTACATTTCATTTGCTGCCTGAGTGTTGCAAAATTAATTAATACTATATCATCCAAACAATGCTTCTAAGTGGGTGACAAACTTGAATTTGCTGCTGTGAGTTTATTTGTTTCAAATTCAAGACTTGGAAAGCTTAAACCAATTACAGATCAAGTTACATTTCATTTGCTGCCTGAGTATTACAAAATTAATTAATACTGTGGCAGGCAATTAGTCCTTGTAAGCTCGATTGATCAGTCAGACTAATTTGGATTCCTTTGAGGAGTGTTGGCGAATTTCCATTGCACATGACTCGCGTGTTCGTAAGTTTTCTCACCAGCTACTTGGTCGAGAGGAACGGCATCAGAAATTTCTTTCAGGTCCTCTTCCCTGAGTTTCAGCGCTACGGAGCCAATGTTTGTATCCAGGTTTTTAATTTTTGTTGTCCCTGTGGAAATTCACAGTAAATATAGTCTCGATGAACAATGTACGTATGTATGTAAATAATGTATCGAAGGAATTATATATACTCACCAGGGATAGGAACAACATCATTTCCTCTGTGGAGAACCCATGAGAGGGCTAGTTGAGCAGGAGAGCATTCATGTTTCTTAGCAAGGCTTTCTACTCTATGGTAAATGTGTTTGTTCTTCTCCAAGTTCTCTCCTTTCATCCGAGGATGTGCGGCCTGATAATCACAAAAACGAAAACAACAAAAATGGAAAAAAGATTATTCAATCAACCAACAAACTCAGTCATTAGTATAAGATAAATAGCTTAATTAGCTCTGTTTTTAAATATGTACCGCATGAACTTTAGAGTCCAAATTTTCCAAAACTGCTTTGCCAGCAAAAAAACCACGGCCAAGAGGACTATATGGAACAATTCCAATCCCACGCTCCCTGCATATAAACAAAGCTTTTTATTACAAAACGTCCCTGAGGTTCGTGATTTGCCAAGATTTGCACAAGCAAGCGTGTGAATATAATGTACCTGCAAAGTGGAACAATCTCTTCCTCAATATCACGAGTCCAAAGAGACCACTCCATTTGTATAGCTGTGATGGGATGAACAGCATGTGCCCTCCTTATTGTGTCCGGGCTCGCTTCAGATAATCCTATATACTTTATCTTCCCTTCTTCCACCAGTTTCTTCAGCTCACCCATCTAAACTCCAAAGCAAATACAGAAATGAAAAATATCTAATCAGGGTTCCGGGATTGCGTTTAGCACAAAACTGCGTAGTTTTAGACTTCAATCAATCTGTTATGAACTTATGATATGCAGAGTTTGGTACATTATATATATGCATACACATTAAATTACATACAGTATCTTCTATAGGCACCGATTGATCCACCCGGTGCTGATAGTAGAGATCGATGTAGTCGACGCCAAGACGCTTCAAGCTAGACTCACAGCATACCCTGACATACTGAGGGTCACCCCTTACTACCAGACGAGGCGGTCCCAAGCTTACAACACCAAACTTTGTGGCTATCTGAACTTTTTCTCTTGGCAACTGCTTCAAGGCCTAAATGTCGATAAAATGTTGACAATTAGTGGAGTTAGTCTAATTAAGTTACTTGATCAATATTGCACAAGTGGAATAATGATGAGGACTTGGAGATGGAAGTATACCTTGCCAACAAGAATTTCATTGTAATGATCAGTTCCATATATATCAGATGTGTCAAAGAAGGTGATCCCTTTACTGAAGGCATCTTTTATTAGTGAGATTCCTTCCTTTTCAGCCTCAGGGGAGTTGATCCAGCTCAGCCCCATGCATCCAAACCCCAACTTTGATACCTGCAGACAGAGCAAGGAAATGAATTAGAAAGTCTATTGCAGAAGCAGAATCAGAAGCAAGCCAAAATGCAATGACAAAATTTCATTTGAAAAACAGAATGATATTGTACCTCAAAACCTTGGGTTCCAAGTTCGACTCTTGGAATCTGAATTCCCTGCCCCTCAGTCATTTTGTTTCTCTTTCTTATCTAAATAATTGCTTTCAATTGCTTCCTCTTAGATCAACAATCCCAGATGTAAATAGGATTTTTGAGTGCTGACTGAGAAATAGCAAAGTAAAGATGCAAAGTCTATGACCTGTTTATAGGATTTAAAGTTGGCCACACACATCACTGATTATTACATATACATATCTACCCACTAGTCTTACACTGACATCACTGACTATGTCACTATGCCAATGGCAATGGGAATAATATCTAGTACAACTTTGACGCATTGGATTATTATGTCACTGGCCAATCAATTGACATCACTCACTATGTCACCATGTCACTATGCTATCTATTCTATTCTGATTTAACATTTCCTTCATTCATAGAGATCCTCTCCAAAAGAAAGGGAACCAAGAAAGTCTTGAAAGATTGGTAAATTGTGATTACTTCTGTTGCAGAAGCAATCATATGCAAAATACAAAGAAAATGAAACAAGCTTTAGAAATGGATTATACCTCAAGTCCTTGATTTCCAAGTTTGACTCTTGGAATCTGTGTTCCCTTCCCTTCAGCCATACTAATCTTCTTCAATTTTCTCCAAAAACTTTGTTTTGATTGTTTCCTGTAATTGAAATAAAACCTAAATGCAGATAAGTTAGTTCAGCCTGCCTATTCTCCACAGCTCGAGTTTATTTAGCCTCTTCTCAAGCTCAACAATTTGAATTCAACAGCTGTTCTCTTATGCGGATTAATTGGTGCGAATCGCTTGCAGAAAATAAGCATCCACCACCATTCAAATGAACCGTCCGATGCTTCTTTCTATTTTCTTCAAAAGATTTATAATAAATAAAAAGTACAACCAAAAGAGGAAAATACACTTTGAGAAATCAAAATTTCTTCATTAAACCAGCAATCAATTGCTCGTCCCGAGGAATGGAAGTGAGAGACAAGAGCTGGAATTTGAAAATCTGCAATGAATTGCAAGTTACAGAGAGAGAGAGGGGGAGGAAATGAAATGACAGAGAGAAAGAGGGAGAGAGATACTTCGAGAACATCGTCGGTATCATAGTCAACCCCCAAAATGGAGTCATTGTGGTGAACCTCAAAGCTGCGAGCCACCATTTTCTGTTTCGCGACTCCGTTGATAATATCTGCAACTGCAATACTGTTTGAATATTTGAATATATTTTATAGAAATTTAGATATTGAATATATTAAAACGTATAGCCTCTTTAAATATTGGAATATATTTAACGGTATAGCCGGGCGGCTATACACTTTAAATATTCAAATACATTTGAACAGTATCGCCGCCCGGCTATACTATTTAAATATTCAAATACATTTTAGCAGTATAGCCGCCCGGCTATACCCTTTTATATATTTATACTTGATCCAACAACCTAAAAGCCATAAATACAAATTTAAAAAAGTCAAGAAAATGGACTTTGAAAAGAAAAAAAAAAAAAGAAGAGGAAAAGGGTATGAGAGCAATTAATTGTAGTGGAATTTATTGGTGATAGGGTTTGTCTACAGTATTTGCAATCAATTGAACAAAGTACATTATCATTGAAGTCCCAAGACTCAGATGGAAAAGTGTCCATGTCTTAAAGCTCAGACTTTGAATGTTTTGGAGGAGTGTTGGCGAGCTTCCATTGCCACTGCATCAGGATTCCGCTATTGCTATCACCGGCGACTTGGTCGATTGGTACAGCATCAGAAATTTCTTTCAGGTCTTCTACCTTGAGTTTCACCCCTAAGGAGCCCATGTTTGAATCCAGGTTCTTAATCTTTGTTGTCCCTGCAGTGGAAATTCACAACCAAATGGACAATGTGTCAACGGACAGAAACAATGTTTCTTGATTGATTTCATGAGCAAACAAATGCTGGTAAAAGCTCAAAAATTCAAACCCTGATCTTAAAAGATCTTGATTGATTTCATGCCAGTTATAAATCAATTTAGGTTGAAGAGGACAAAGATGTAATGGAGACTCACCCGGGATAGGCACAACATCATTTCCTTGGTGGAGAACCCATGATAGTGCTAGTTGAACAGGAGAGGTTTGATGCTTTTTAGCAAGGCTTTCTATTCGATGGTAAATGTTCTTGTTCTTGTCTATGTTCTCTCCTACAAACCGAGGATGGTTGGCCTAACGTAGAAAAGCAAAATGCACAAGATTCAATCAACCAAAATTAGTTTTCATACACAGAAAAGAACAATACTTTCAAATTTATAGTTGTAAAATAAGGTTCAAGCAGAAAAAAAAAACCCATGAACCACACCCTAAACCCGGGTTTTGTAATTGAACTGCATAAAAAAGTGAACCACAAAAATCAGAAGAAAAAAAACTGCAGAATTTTCAAAAATCTACTGAACTGCTAGATTTTTTAATTGACATATGATTTTGTTAAAATGACATAATGCCAAAGAAAAAAACCAAGACTAGAATCAAACTCTACTCTCTCAGTTTTTGATACTCTGCAGAACCTACATTTACTTCTATAACGGAAAAAGATTATGAAGAACAACCTACCACAAAACTATTTGGAGCCACACTTTCCACAACTCCTCTGCCTCCGAAAAAACCACGACCAAGAGGACTATATGGAACTATTCCAATGCCAAGCTCCCTGTATGTGACAACATTGAACAAAATAATTGACACAAATTAGAGTTATTATAGACACACTTTGAGAACATTCCACAAGCGTTTAAGTAACTGCAATCATTTTTGCACAAGTAGAAGGGAAGCATTCCCCTCTTTTTTTTCCCCTTACAAAAATGGAAAATAGGGAAGCAATTCAGGGTTGAAAGTGGATTTTGAACATACCTGCAAACTGGAATAAGCTCTTCCTCAATATCACGAGTCCAGAGGGACCACTCAATTTGTAAAGCCGTGATGGGATGAACTGCATGTGCCCTCCTTATTGTGTCCGGGCTGGCTTCAGACAACCCAATATACTTTACTTTTCCTTCTTCCACCAGTTTCTTGAGCTCACCTACCTAAACTCCAGGAAAAACAAAAGTATCTAATCAATATTTTCCAGCCAACCCCCAACTATTTCTACAAGAAGCTATGTAAAAGCACTTCCAATTTATACAATTATGGTGCTTTTAGCTGAATGAGGAAGAGAATCACATACGGTTTCCTCTATAGGCACAGTTGTGTCCACCCGGTGCTGATAATACAGATCAATGTAGTTGACGCCAAGACGATTGAGGCTAGCCTCACAGCATGAGCGGACATACTCAGGAGTGCCCTTCACTGTAATTCTAGGAGGATCACGTCTTCCAGTAATACCAAACTTTGTGGCCACTTGAACTTTTTCCCTTGGCAACTGCTTCAAGGCCTTCATTATAAAAACTCATATACATTTAGCTAATAGTCTGCTTCTTTGTAAATTATATCCATCATGAATTAATCAATACAGATATTATATTAACTTCTGAGTTAGTGTAATTAACTTGATAAATTCACAAGTGGAAATGCAAACCTTCCCAAGAAGAAGTTCATTCAAATGAGGTCCATATACATCAGCTGTGTCAAAGAAAGTGATTCCTTTACTAAAAGCATGTTTTATTATGGAGATGCCATCATCATCAGGGACAGGAGAGTTGTAGACCCCACTCAGGCCCATGCATCCAAACCCCAATTTTGAGACCTGATGAGCAAGGAAATCAAAAATTTTGAAACAAATAACTAACAATTGGAAGAAATATAACTAAGCATCTAAATCAACTATCTGCAGAAAAGACAGAGATTGAAGGAACTTTAAGAGTCTAAATGGATTATTATAATGCCTCAAATCCCTGACTTCCAAGTTTAACTCTTGGGATCTGTACAGGTACAGCCTTCTCCTTGTCCCCATTTAGTCTCCCTGGTAATGAGGTTGAGGCAATGTCTGTAGAATGTAAACCTCTTTCGAGTTCTTGCCTCTCCTTCTCATCACGGTCTTCAAGTACAGAAAGCACTTGAGAGGTAAACCCTCTTCGGCAGTCTTTTGTTACATTAGCAAGCAAAGCTGACAGTGCAGTCTCTGTAATGATGTTACGTCGAGAAATAACCTGCAAAATAGAAAGACTCTTCCTCATCAACGGCTCAACATAAAGTTTATAAAGTAGTTCTCTTCATGAAAATCTAGGCAATTAATTAAATCCAGTACCACTTTTTTGTGATTACCTCATGCCACTTCCTCGTATATCGTTTGGTTACATCACAAACACCATCTTTAGTGAAGGCAATTACGTAAGTTAATTTCTTGTTCCACCTGCAGAAAATGCTTGAAGTTATATTTTAAAATGCACAAATCAAGGTAAAAATAATTTATCTCATATCAAGAAACTGAAGCAACAGGGAAATCTAGAAAAATGATTCAACTAGCAACACCAAAGGTACCCGCTTTCATATAACATTGGATTGTCATACACTCCTTCACAAGGATCGAGATGCAACCATCTGAACAACAAAGGTGTGAAAAGAAGATTGTATCGATATTATTGGCTTTCCAGGACTCCTAAGTTAAAGAAAAAGCACTAGTCTGTAAATGGAAGTTACCTTCCTAAAGATTGTGAGAAGCACTCTGTCCAAACATGATCAGTGAAATCCAAGATCTGAAAAACAAAAAAAAAGAAGTTAAAAGAAATCTATCAGCCTCCTCAGTCTCAGGAAAAAATAAAAAGGACACAAGTGAACTACTTAATTATCTACTTTCATCCGAAAATGAATAATTAGACAAGATAATGGTTCCAGTGTTGGAACTCAACTCATTAGATGTTGTACAAGAAGGATTAAATATATTCATATTGCTTTAAGCATGTCCATTGGTGAATATCAAGCAAGTCAGATGGCAGTGATATTAGAATTGAAAATGACTAACCAGGCGGGATTCATATCCAAAAGCTCGGCAATAAAGCGTAAAGCAATTGGCCCATTCCCCACAACGCCCCCTTCTTGTTTCCAAAAGCTGCATGTTTGGGAAAAAATTAAATTAAATTGAGGGAGACATAAAATATCAAACAAGCTTCTTAATGAGGCCACCAAGATGCATAAATACCTTTAATGGATCATTGTAGCGTGGGAAACGAGACCCTATAGGGCAAAAATTGCATCTGGGGTTGAAGACCAAAAATATAATAAGTAATGTCAAGCTAATTAATTATTCTGAATCTAGAGATGTATGCATCAGCACATAGATAGAAAACTAAGAAACAGGATTAGGGAAAGATAATAATAAAAATGTTAATTTTTTATTTATTGAAATAGCAGTTTTCTAATGGTTTGTGACATGAGGCTCTCACCTAAAAATGCTAGTCACATAAAGTAAGTATACCAGTAGAGAAAAATCCTTAAATTGAAAACTATAGCTGCAAATGCTGCCACAGCATTGACAGTTGGAGAGTCCAAGTTCATGGTGGACGAGCCTATTTGACTCCAGCTATGTTATTCTTAAACCAGATGAACAAAGACTACCAAGTAGATATTACCACAATGAAAGATTAGATATACAGTAGGGAAACCAATAAAGCGAAAAAAAAAAAAAAAAAAAACAAGATAACATAAAATCATAAAGGGGTAAAAATACCATAGACCAGACTAGACTATAGTTACAAAATTTGGGGTTGGGGAATGGCCAAACATCACTAGCATACCCATAGATCTCAACTCGAGAAGCTCCATATTGAATTTCTGAAGGAAGTGCAACAGCCATTCCATGAGATACGGTTTCTTTGCCGCAACCATCACAGGGAGGAGCATCAACCCACCTGCAATATTGAAACAGAGCACATTACACAAATTCAGCTGGTCAGCTACGCATGATGAAAGTGAATTGTAAAAAAACAGCAAAGCAACAGGAGAACACCTGAAAGATTGTTTGAACCAGAAAAGCAGCTGCAGCAGGAAAGCATGGTCTTGTTCATTTTTTGATGGAGTTGAATTCCCCTCCTAAAACACATTTATCAGATTTGCTTATCACCAAGACATCTTTGCAGAGGACAATCATTAATATATTGCCAAAAATCAGTTCAGTCCAAAAAATGAAAACAATGACACGCATAAAACATTTATTTTCTGAGAGACTAATGCTCTCACCTTGGCCAAACTGACCAATGCTTTCTCCTCGAGCTCTTCTATAGGGACTGTTTTCCGAGCAGCCT